ATTATTGCGAGTTATTGTTAAAGGCACTGACGAGACAATACGAAATGCGTGCATTTGCCAGTCTTCGTCTTCTTACTGCGCTTTTCAAATATATACACCGTTGGTTGGCACTCGAAGTTGCATCATCTCCGGAAATACGTAGTGAGAAAGCACTGCTAGTGTCCCCTAGATAGGATCACAGAGTGAGCACACAACAAGAGTCTTCCAGGCGGGTTTCCAATAAGTAGTATATAGCAAGGGTCTCTAGCGTTTGGGTAATTGCTGCCTGTTGACTCATCTGTAACAGTGTGTAACTTAATTTATCTACTGCATCAATGTAATCTGGTCTCTATTCTGAGCAATAAAAACTGGCAATGGTAACGCCACGACACAAAATCGGGTTTAGATAGAACATTAGAAACTATTGGCCCATAAAACATAACTCAATTTCCCAATAGCATTGGTACTAAAAAAATCACTGAAGTTTTAACATTGAGCGACCTACTGTCCGCAGTTCGGTGCGATTTTTCTCCAAAAACGTTAAGTTCCACCTGTCAGCTCAAGTTTTTCCAAAATTTAACGAATTTGGTAGACTCAGGTAAGACTTGTATTGTTGTTCACCTGGATATTAACAAAGCATTAAGGTCGCACACCAGTTAGTTTTTCAGAAGCTTCGTAACAGTGGTATAACAGGCTCACTGTTGGTTTGAATAAATTCATACCTTAATGGCAAGAAGCAGCCAGTCAAGGTAAGCGATCACTCATCAGGGATAAGGAACATTACTAGTGGTGTAGTACAAGGTAGCGTACTCGGGTCGATTCCTTCCCTGATATAGCCGGGCCATAGCCTTAAGAATTACAAGCCTGCGTTGCAATACAAGAGCGCGGGTTCCAGCCTGCGTAGATGACCAGACGACCCTCGCAGTATCCTAAGCTCACGTGCGACTAGTAGTGATTGCGAGCCAGCGAAACGCCGGTGCGCAGCACTGGCGTACTGCTGATACCTTTCCCCTGATATACATAAAAGATCTGTTTCTGGTGCTAGGGTAAAATGCTGAAAATGTTCCCAGTCGGATGCTAAAACATATTTTGAATTGGCTTGAATCAAGCATGGTAGACATTTTCTGTTTGCCGATGACATAAACATTGTATATACTGCGGAACCATAAAGCACTGAGTTTATTATTGGTCTGTCTGTGAGAGTGGTGCTCCAGTTCCGTAATGAGCTTTTCGACGACTAAGTGTAGTAGTATGTGTTCCATTAGGAAAGCTTACTCAACATAATCTCCCACTTCCCATGAATGATTCTATCTGTGATTTGGGTCTGTATTACTCCAGTACGCTCAATTTTAAAGTACAAATTAGGCATATTGTGGCTAAAATACGAGAGCAGTTGGAATGTTGAGCCGCTTATTTACAACAACGGGTGCCCGACCTATCTAGAATACTGCACACTCGTTGTCAGCAACACAAGAAAATGGGACAAACTGAAGTTAAAGCAACTCAGATGTCCTTTAGAAAAAGACCTGTGGGTTGCACATCTGTTCTGTCTTACAAAGACCTGCTGAATCTCGAGTCATTGTGGCTTCGAAGATTATAATTAAATCCCGTTTGTTTCTATAAAATTATTCATCGGCAAAGACATACACATTTTTACGAACTGAAATTCCAAGAGCCTTCGCTACATAATCTGAGGAGTAGGTAATAAAAATACCCCGATATCGCACGCGACTTCCATGCAGCTCCATTACGCTTAAATATCTACTGATATGGAATGGATTGCTCCAATCCTTCAGAAGTTCGGCTTCCACTTGGGAACGTAAAGAGTAACTAAAGCTAACTGTAAAGAACGGTTCTGTCTCAACTGCACGTATGAATATGTATATGTAACCTAAGAATATCTAAGCATTCATCTTCCGCGGATTTTGAGCGGTTCTCCGAGCTAAGTGATTATTGTGCAGACGTTTCGTTTCCTGACTAGGCAATATCATCAGTGCGGTTTCAGGGGCCTGGTTCGCAGTGCCTCGTAAGCGACTTCAATGTCCAAGTGCTTATTAATCGAGTTCTGCTTTGAATGCCAGGCTTCAATGAACTCACGTGCTTGCCGGCTTTTAGCCCTTCCGAGTATACTGGTATGCTCTATGTCGAATTGATGATTCTCAGCATATATATATATATATATATATATATATATATATATATATATAATTCAACACTTTACCAAGTGCATTATAATGGGCAGAGTGCCAAACACATGAGTTTTCCAGGGCAGTATCCAGGATCTCGCCGAAGGTGCACAAGAATGGAGGCTGGGCAACCCTGTCTAACACCGTAAGTGATACTGAAAAGGGGCAAAAAGTGTTTGTGTAACCTCACGCGACCCCATTTTATGGTAAATGCTGATGTACTTCTCAGGTACTCCCCACTTCAGTAACCAGTTCCAAAGAGGCACTCTGTCAACAGAGTTGAACGCGGCTGGGATGTCCAAGAATATGAAAATGGTTGGTCGAATGAACGTATGGCGGTGTTCAAGTATCTGGCGGATCGTAAAGATGTGATCGACGCAGCTGCGACCCAGGCGAAATCCATCTTACTGTCCACGTAGGTGCTGTTCTCGTACGCAACCGAGCCTCTGCAAGAGTAGCGTAGCGAGCAGTTTGGATGCGACACAAATGAGACTGATGCCACGATGGTTGGAGCAAACCGTCAGGCTTTCATTTTTGTAAACAAGTACAACATCCGCTAATTCCTAGTCGTATGGGATGATTTCAGCAGTCCAAGTCTGATTAAAGAGAGATGTCAGATAAATCACAGATATTGCAGTACTACATGACCAGTATAGTACAAGTTTGTGTCCATCAAGTTGACAGAACAAGACTGCGACCTGAACCCGGGAGCTTTGAGGTGTCAGTCGAATGCTCTGTCCTCAAGCCACCGAATCGAAGCAGACAGCGATTGTCGTAACGGCTAATGACTAAGCGGAGGTCAATTCGAAGTACTCGTTGCGTGAGTGGACTGCGACACGCAACCTCGATTTGGATCACGTCTGACTTTGTGGTAAATCCCAGTCAGCTTGATCAATGGGACCGTCGCTGAAACAAATACGTTAGGCGTATTGTCATTTTCCTGAGCTCCATTCACAGAGTGACAGTGGAAGACGGCAATCGCTGGGGAAAAACTGAAGGTGAACGGATCTGGCGTCTATCGTTCGTGTGATGATTCTTTGTGAACCAATCCTCCGCTAAAAGTGGCTGCAGCGACCATATTTAGAAGCATGAATGGGCGTTTTTGTCATACACAATACTTAAGTGATTAATGCATCCGGTTTGAGGACAGTTGATTAGTTGAGGCGAAAATGAGACAAGCTCACTAGAGAGGCAGTTGAAACATGCCAAATGGCCCAAAAGTACTCCTATTCCTCGATTGTGTCTCAGGCACAGAGTAGCGGCAATCAGTGGAAATAGAAAAGTACACACAACGAATTGTCACACTCACCGAATCATGGGCGGGGAAATAACGATTCAGTTCACAGATAAAAGCGGCGTAATCACCCGATACAATGAATGACTCCAAGTGAAAGTGTAGAATCTGAAAACGCAGGATGGAAAAGTGGGAGATATCAAGTGAAAGTGTGCGAACGGATCAATGCGCGAAGAGGAATCAAATCAACCGCTGCTGTATTCACTGAAACATCGTTTTTACCTCATCCACAGTGCATTCATTTATCTGTTCCGTATGAATATTTTTAGGGAGCTCTTTGGGTGAACTATTCCTAAAGTTACCACTGCTGTCACGCACCGTCGATTCCGTGAAAAAACCTCGAGATACTGCGCATAATTCGTAATTTGCTCATCTTGGCCACAAAATTGTACAAATCATTCGAATGAAGTATTAATAAACGTTCTGGTAAAGTGAGAAAACGTCGTGTATCCTGAGAAGTTGGCTTTAGACTCTGTCATGTGCCGAAGATTCTCTGCAGCATGGCGTGTTCTTTACTTTATGACGAGGGGACCGGTTACTGGAGTGATATGTGTGCACTTCCTTCCAGTGTTGCTTTTCTATTTACACAATGAGCAACAAGCATGTTCGACGTCGTGTATTTGGTGAAGGAAAAGCTAGTGACTCGTTCAGCGCCATTATATCACGCACCGGGTTCCGATGGCTTGTTCGTGTGTTGTGCATGCCAGCGGACCGGCTCCCTCATCGTGGGTTAGTTGCGCGAGCAGTTTGAATGGACGAGGAGAAGAGGCCAAACGATGATTTGGTCAAGATGAATGAAGGCCCTCATTACGAAGTTGGCATCGGTTAATGTCTCCCGACAGCCAGCTTGGGGTCCCAAAGACGATGAGCACGGTTTTTGGATATACTAGTTGATTAGGTTAAAAGCCGATCTTAACGGCGCTTGTATTGTGTTTCTTTGTCCATCCCCCATTCCGCTTATCTTCTCATTCCGATCACGAACTCACGCGGCATGTATAATACGACATTTGGCATTATATTACGCTCTTTAAATTTTACATTCTGCAATGTTTAGCATCTCGCTCTTCACAAACTTATCTTTTGTTATGCGGCACAGTTGGCCGAGGTGTGTTTCTCACCTACAGATTAGCTGTAATGATGATGATTGATTTAAACAATTGTGCATTCTGTTGTTATCATTTTAGTCCATCTGAGTACATAAGGTTATTTTGAGTTGAACCACTGGACAAACAGAATACATAAAGGAGAAGCCGGAATAGCAACAACAACAAAACCGCTAAGTTCCGCACGGTCTTGGTACCGGAGTGGACGGCTTACCAAAGAGATGGATTACTTAAGGTCCGGATATAATGCTAGACAGCGTCTCGTTTAACGTTGCTCACAATGTGAAGACAGTGCGTTATACTCCGCTCGAGCGACGAGTCTAATCAGTTTAACGACAGACACCACCTTCGACATGGTTATGAGCTACAAAATTTTGGACTCCGTTAAGGAGTGTTTGCTTCAGTTTACAATGCGGTGTTTGCCGAGTTGGACCTGGAAAGATTGGGTGAAGGCGGTTCGGCGGTGATCAAATTCCCTGGAGGATTCCAAGCTACCAGTGGAGCGGATGGCTCTTACCCGAATTCATGGACCAAGAGAATCAACGACGACTCCCAGACGCTGGCTCTTAACGAAGGTAGATGAGTTGATCAACATGGTCTATGAGAGATGAGTTACGGCACCGAAAATGAAACACTGTTAACAATGTGAGGACAGAAAGCCCTTTCACAGTAAGATCTGACTTACCAATCGTCGTGCCTTGGTTAGATACTCCGAGAGCGGGGCGCAGAAGGAGCTGCTGGACTGATCCAAGTTGGCGGCGAGGTTTGTGGCTATGACGATCAAATCATCCAGCCGTTGGCAGAGGCCAGATACTTTGCAGCCATTTGTCCGTGTGGATGTCGAGGGGACGCATGCTGGATGAGGTGGGGTAGGAAAGTCCTGCATTGCAGCAAGACACCACTTAGCTATATCCGGGGCACGATACGATGACTGATGGATCAGACTGAGTACTGAGTGGACGAAAAGGGGAAACACACACAAGTGTTTGAGAGTTGCAGATATTGCGTGCCATGCAGGCACGAGTCTTCGTTTCAACGAAAGAGCAAGAAAGATGCTGGTTAACTGACCATATATGGGATGTCGCGATAGAGAAGGTAGAATAACAACCTAAAGGCAATGTAATGGACTCCCAGCGTCACGCCGACGCTTCGGTCACCAGTTTAATGGCAGCAATTTACAAGGTATTCGAATTGGAGAGTATAAGAACTGCTCTCTCTCTCAACACTACACCTCACGACCGACCGGTTTCGTCCTGATTTGGACTCAGCTTGAGCTGAGTGAGGAACCAGACACAGTAATTGACGGCCCTTGTCTTGGTCACTAGGATGTGGTCTTCATAATACCTCCCTTAGGAGTTCGCTGGTATGCGATTTCGGCCTGGGATTGGACTGTAGCGGTTTGTCCATCTGGGCTGACAGGTAAGTGCAGGATGGGCTAGTGGCCCGGTCGTTGACAACTTGAAGTCGTCCAGGAGTAGGTGGATGTTAGGTGCTGCCCACTCGCAACAGTGCGCTCCATGACTGGTTTCGTGCATGCTTGCACTCATCAGGCAGAGCTAGCCGGACTGCGACTCGAACCCCAGACCTTTGGGATAGCATCCGAATGCTCTACCCCTGGGCCACCGAGTCACGGTGGGCAACGTCTGCCACAATGGTTAAGAAGTTATCATCCTCAAAACCATTTGTAATAGCAAAGCAAGTGTGATAAAAAACACTGTATGTGGGCCAGTTCCCTTGCGGCGAACTACATGCTTAAGAAGCATACGGGACCAGCGCGTTTAGATTCTGTCAACAACGCAGTATCAACAAGAACATTTGCAAAGTGATAAAAAGAAATTGTCGCACTTTTTGCGAGTTGGCCGATACACCCCGTTCGCCTATGCGCGGAAGAACACGTGGAGTTAGTTACAAAATTTAAAAGAAACATACAGATTTTAAATTCCCAAATTTGCCCACTCGCGTCGCTGGAGCTGCGAGGACCGCCACTTCGCCTTACGCTATCGTGCTTTGAGGCTCAGAGAGTTGATATTTCTCTCTGTCACAAACTCCGGTCAGAACGCAAGTCAAACTTTTGGTAGAAAATCATTTTCTCCATGCGCGTTTTGGGTTTGGAGTGATCAATATCACTCTACAGTACATGAACAGAGACGATTATCGACGTTCGGGAGCGAGCAGCGCACCGAGACGATGTCGCACCCACCACAACGAAAACATCGCTGAATGCACTGACACCGAAGGCTGCACCTCTCTAAAAAGCCACAAAGTGCTGTTATTGGCCAACACCCCACAGGTTCTCCCGGGTATTCGACTATTAATCAAAGGGGTAGATGGGTTAACCACATCCTCTTGTGATCAAGTCGTTAAAGAGAATGCTGCACGCATGAGCAAGGCTTTCCAGAACCCCAATCATCTATGCAATCAGCCGGACATAGGCCTATCGATTAAGGACAGAATATACAACGCTGCACTGACGCTACCATCACCCATAAATGAGACATGGCGTTGAGAACTTTTAGAAAGTAGTTAGTTTTGTTTACTGGTACGTGCAAGGTACTTGCTTAAGCGCAGCTGCGTGGCATGTGGACGGGTTGGGTGAAAGCGAGACTCGGTGATGATTAGACTTGCTAGAGCAGTTCAGTCAAACAACTGTGATCCAGACGCCGAGATGCAGTGGATGCAGTTGCTACGGCTCGAGTCACATCAAAACAATGAGAAGTGGTAGCGTGCAAGCAAACTGCGGGAGAGAAAATGAGCGCAGAGAAAGTGAAATTAACCCGGATGAAATATAAAACAGGCAAAGTGAAGAAACCTACTGACTGCGTGACTGAGCCATGTTTGGTGGGGTATCCAATTTGGTGGACGAATCAATCACACAATAGGATAAATGGTGGTTTATCTAGTTCATCGCGACTATATTACACGCCAGGTAGGTTGAATATTAGCATCAGACGATCGTTCCGCCTTATTCAAGCTCATCAGCGGTGCGCATGCTATCGGTCCCCTTCAGAAGCCGAATCCTTGACCGTTGGTGGCTTTTGCATTGCGGCACAATAGCTAGGATGTTTTACACATGCAGCTAACGTGTATAATAATAATGATGATGATGAGTGGCTTGCACCGCTAAGGTAGCAGGTTATGCCACTGCATTGACCATTATGGATGGAAATCTAACTGCGATATAGCCCCGTTCATCCTTCACTGGCAAGCAGGTTACTGCTCGTGCTGAGGACACTTGTTGGCCGCCCAGTGTCAAGACTTCCCTTGCCAATAACCGCGAAGTCATGCAACATTTTGAAGACTAATAGGACTGTTTTTGATTCATCATCATCATCATCAACAGCAATACATCAGCCATTTGGAACTGATGCTTCGCTGCCATACAACAATGAGGAACTATGAAATAGAGAATAAGAAGAGGGAGAGAAGCAAAACTTACCTGAAAACCTTAATGTCCTAAGCAAACATTCAGGGTCAAGGCGCCTATACCTTGTGTAGACAACATACCGTCACAAACAGCTGGCTATCGTGTAAAGATAAGGCGGCATCGGCGAGACAGCTTCCTTGCGGCTTTCACTGCCACGCGTCATAATCAGCCATTACCCCGCAGATAACTCAGCACCAAACACCGATTAGAAGACGGCAACAGACGCGCCACTGGTGTCGGTTGCGAGCCATGTCCTGTAAAGTCTCGAGCCAAGCACAAGGTGAAATGCGTCAGCTTATACGCCGTAACGGCGCTTCGCTGCCGCGCGACCACCACCAGTCGCGCACGGGCTGAGTATACCGCGAGGACGCCCACCCCTACGCGGATTCGAACCGGTGACCTCATGGTTGGAAAGCAAACGTGCCAACCACTCGGCCACCGGCCGACACCACTCGGCCACCGGCCGAGTGAGTCACCTGGACTCCAACCCGGAAGGCGAGACGGACCAACGGCACCAAGTTTGGTCGTCAGTGACTTCATTTCCCGCTGCCAAGTCAACTTCTGTCCACCTCGAGCCTTGTGCCATCCTACACCTGGTAGACTGAACAAGGCCCTCCTAGGTAAGCGGTGGCCAGGCATACGTAGCACGTGCCCGAGCCAACGCAACTTATTCAGTGCTATCTGTTGTTCTAGGGAGCTAGTATGATTATCACCACCTAGTACTCGCCTACGCACATCATCGTTGCGGACACGCTGGTGCCATCCGACACCAGCAATGCTTCGCAAACAACGATAAGCAAAGACTTGAAGGCGCCTCAGATCTTCAGACCGAAGGGGACAAGTTTCACTACCATAGAGCAGAACGGCCCTTACTGTGGCCTTGTATACACGGCCTTTCAGACGTAGCGAAACTCCCTTCTGTCGCCAAAGATGACGCAGGTTCAAGAAGGCAGCTCTGGCCTTGCAATGCGTGAGCTCACGTCAGTTTCTATGCGCCCATCATTGCTGATGCAGCTGCCAAGATAAGTGAATTGATCAACCACCTCAAGTTCCTCGTTTGCAAGCGTCAAGGGGTCATCAAGTGGCTGGTGGTCCTGCAGCAACACTTTGCACTTTGAAGGTGCGAAGTGCATACCAAATAATGGGACCACACTGGACAGGCTATTCAGGGTTGATTGTTCCGCCTCAACATCGTCGAAAAGTAAGACGATATCGTCCGCATAATCTAGATCAACCAATCTTTCACTAGGCAGCACTTCAACGCCTACATCGTGAGATTCCGCAAGGGAACACTCCATGATAGAAGCCACGACGAAATTGAATAGAAATGGGGAAACCGGACAACCCTGACGAACGCCACTTGTAGTCGAAAAGCTATCCGATAGGACACCATAGACCCTGACACGGCCTGTAGTGTTCGAGTATAGAGCACGAAGGATGTTCACATATTTCGTGGGAACATCTTTCCGCGCAAGTATTTCGAACAGAATCGATTGATCGACTGAATCGAACGCACTCTTGAAATCGAGGAACATAGCTATTGTCGGTCTGCGGTATGCGTGGCGCTGCTCTACCACCTGCCGCAAAGTAAATATATGGTCTATACAGTCACGTCCTGGGCGAAAACCGGCCTGCTCTTCCCTAATCCGAGATTCCAGTTCCACATTGAGGCGACGAACGAGAATCGAGGCCAATAATTTTGTCACAACTGGCGTTAGGCTAATACCCCTGCGGTTCGCAGTCTGTGCGACTGCCCTTATTGTATATTGCCACTATAATCGATTCGCTCCAATTAGCCGGCACACTCTTCGTTCCAGATACGTTCGAATAGGGAGGTCAGTGCCCTGCAGAGGACCTCATCTCCATCCTTAAATAATGCAAGTGGGAGGGAATCCGGGCCAGCGGCACGAAAACGATTGAGGGCTGTGTTCGCGTTTCGGACCTCGGCCTCCGACGGAGGCTCTAAACTAACCGTCCATGGCTCGTCCTGCATCACCTGAGTAGGAAGAGGCCCGGGAGCAGGGGGCCAGCTGAACTGATCTTCAAAGTGTTCAGCCCAACGAGCCATACGGCGCTCCTTATCGTGTATCAGCGCACCCGCGCTGTCTCTGATTGTCTCACTGACGCCTGGTTTTCTGGGACCAGTGGTGGGGGATTAGCTGGAAGAGCTTCCGATAATTGCCTACTGTTCCTGCCTGCTCCATTTCTTGAGCCCGACTGGTCCACCAGGCTTCCTTGTCAGCACGTAAACTCTGCTTTAGTTCACGCCTAATGGCCCGTCTGGTCACATTGTGTTCATAACCAGCCGGGGGGTGTTTTCTAGCTTCCAACAGGTTCACCGACCCCTCGGATATCCAGTGACTGGTGCGGTGACGACTGATAGTGCCACAAACAGATGCTCCTGCGTCGTGCATAGCGGCCGAGATCCTATTCCACTGAAGCTCAGTGTCATTAGGACAAGACAGCAGGAGTTCGCTATGCAGTGCTTCTTTATAGGCTTGCCTGACAGAGGACTCAGACAATTTCT